CGATGGGCGTGTCTGTGGCGGCCTCGCAAACTTTGACGATTCGCCACAAAACAGGAAGTCGGTATAACTCAGGCATGCATTACCCGATCTGCCTCAAAAGTCACACGTTTGATAAGAGTCCTGACCTGAACACGTTTACATGCCGATATCCAGTTACAGTTATAGCGCCACCTGCTGGCCACAGGAAATTACATGTTTTACACTGTAACGAACTCCTCTCACAAATTTTATCGTATCAGCACCAAATTTGAGTGGTGTCATCTGAAAGCTCTATCGATGATATATTGTGAAGATCTAGAGTTTTTGCAAAGGGGCATGTCCGTGGCGGCATGACAAACCTCAACGCTTCGCCATGGAACAGAAAGTCCTTATAACTCAACCACACAATGTCTGATCTGCCTGAAACTTCACATGATTGATAAAAGTCCTCTCCTGAACACATCCACTCAACAATATTGAGTCAGTCATAGCGCCACCTAGTGACAGAAGGTAGTTTTGCTTATAACTCAGCCATACAATGTCCAATCAGCCTGAAACTTAACATGGTTTATTAAATTCCTCTCCTGAAGACATCTACATGCCAATATTGAGTCACAGTCATAGCGCCACCTGCTTGCAACAGGTAGTTTGGCTTATAACTCAGCCAGACAGTGTCTGAACAGCTTGAAACTTCACATAGTTAATTAAAATCCACTCCTGAAGACATCTACATGCCAATATTGATTGACAGTCATAGCGCCACCTGCTGACAAAAGGAATTTTGGCTTGTAACTTAACCCCACAATGTCTGATCTGCATGAAACTACACGTGGTTGATTAAATTCCTCTCCTGAAGACATCTACAAAATAATATTGAGTCACAGTCATAGCGCCACCTGCTGGCAACCAGAAGTTTGGCTTATAACTTAGCCAAACAATATTCAATCTGACTGAAAATTTACATGGTTAATAAGATTCCTTTACTGAAGGCATCTACATAAAAATCTTGAGTCACAGTTATAGCGCCACCTGCTGACAGGAGGAAGTTCGGCGTAAATCTGTGATTTTCTCAGATTCTTTATATATATCGGCTTAAATTAAGGTTGTTCACTGTTCTCTGTCATCCTGAGGCCACCGGGCGGCGGTGAGCCCGGGTGCGAGGTCCCTATCATCGCTGCTTGCAGCTTTAATTTAACTTGTGTTTGGACAGCATGAAGGAATTGTCTGCAACTCAGCATTTTTACAGTGTTTAGAATGCAGTGTAGACTCTACTGCTAAACCGTTAATAAAACAAAGGAGCACTTAAAAGAGAAGAGTCAAAGACTCAAGATGGATCACGCAGGGAGATTTGAGAGCTGAATGAAAAATGATGAGTCTGCTAAAAATCACCTTTAAATGCCAGATGGTTTATCAAAGCATAACACGAGTCTACACACACAGACAATCACCTAAGAGCCCTCAGGCTGCATGGATGTGATGCAGGAAACACATTAAAACAATAATTATCCTCTGAAACACATCCTGCTTTCCTCTGAAGGCCTCGGACTTGCCCAAACAGACACTTGGGCAGCAATTGAAACTTCATTAGGGGTCATAACAAACCATTAAAAAGTGCTGCAAACTCATCGCCGCGTGTTTATAAGCTCCCTGATTTCTTGGCTTCATCACAAATCGAAAGTTATAAGGAGAGATATAAATCTCTATATGTGCCGTGCGGTAAACCTCGGCGAAGGAAAGCAACACAATGAAGTTTACAAACTGGTCTGCCACAGCTGGAGATCACATTACTGAGCGTCTGCAGGCCTTAAAAGAGCTGCGTCATGAACGCTCTATTCCTAGTGGCAAACGGCAAAAGTGTTTTCATAAGCATTTCCACCACGTCTAATGAAGCAACTGTCCCAGTTCTCATTGACATGAACGCAAGACAGATTAAAAGCAAAAAAAAAAAGACCAAAAATGGGAGGATGTGTGTCAGCTTTAGAGTGCTTAGGTAATGTCTGCTCAAAGAGGAAACACTGTGTTCTACAACATATTTTTTGTCCAGTCAGGGATCAAATAGAGAAAAAAATGGAGGAGAGGGAAGGGAAAAGTCGATTTTTACATTTCCTGAAGAAAATCTGAGTAGTGCTTGCCTGTGGAAAACTCTGCCACAACGTAAAGGTTATGCTAATTGGCTGCTAAAACCTGCAGAGTGGTTGTTAGCGCATTGCTAAGCTCCCGCTATGATGTTTTAGGCCGTTATTCACTGGATCAACCATTGTGTAACGCTGGAACTGTGACATTCACACTAAATATAAAGATTCATTATAAAAACAAATAATTAAATTATTAATTTCAAGATTTAGATGCAGCAGGCAGAGTTTGCATATGACTATATCACACAAAACTGATTTCAGGGCTTTTTTACTTGACTTTTGGTGTAAAATTGACGTACATTAAGATGCATTATGGTCAATTGTATCACAAGTAGGTAATTCCCTTCCGGTTCATATCTCTTTTGTCCACTTTCAACTATTTACTCCTTATGGAGTGTTTGTATGAGCTGTTTGTGACCGAATATGTTGCTATAATTGGATTCAAAAGCACCTTGTTGCATTCCTACTTCTAAATGTACAGTATTTTTCCACTTTTGACCCCGTTTCCAACATTAATTCAGTCTCTTATCACAGGTGGTCAGTCAAGGCTCATTACTATTAACATTTGACCACTCGTGCTCAGTATCACTTGATTGAATGCGTGTTATCAGTGGTTATCAGCTGATAGATATGGGCCAGTAGGGGCCTTCTGCACCTACAATAAGCTCAGAAGGCTGTTCATCCATACACATGATACACAAGACCATACATGGCTGCGGGCGGAAGCTAACAAAAATTATTCTTTATTAAATTTCCCATTAATTGTATTTTATTAACGTTTACCCCAACCCTAAACAATCAGAAAAATGTTAAAACAGATCTGGATTTGGAGTCTTCTCCATTAGTATAGCTGATTGACCATGGGAACAGATGATAACAGTCTTACAAGCCTTCTAGGCCCCTACTGGCATATATCTATCAGCTAATTTCGCCTATTTAATTGAGTGAAAACATTCGAAGCAGGTGGATTATAAGTAAGAGGAACAGCAAGTAAATGAACATGAATAGATGGAAACTACATAACTGATTTTATTGGCGTTTTTTTGGTACAACACAATGCAATAGTACCTTGTTTTAGTGCACTTTCTAACAACATGTCCCAGAGCATAGTTTTTTTAGTCATTTCTATTTTATTAAAAAAAAAATTGTTGTTGCTGTTCGAACATATTTAACCCAACGCAATCTAACGGCAAATCGTAACTTTTTGATTTAGTGGCTAATTCGTATTCGTATCTAATTCATACAATTTAGAATGACTTGCTCATCACCCAATGATGGTTGGGGTTAGGGGTTGGGTTGGGTGCAACTCCTCCTTTTTAAAATCGTACATTTTCGTACGACAAAACTTGTATGAATTCATACGAATTAGCCACTAAACTGACAAAACGAAAGATACTTACGTTTCCTCGTGAGATCAGGCTGATTTAACCATATGACCCTATTTACGCTGATGGTGTGTTTTCTTCTACCTCTGAAAGTGGTTGAAAGTGAACCAGCTGAACACATTTTAGACCATTTGCATCTGTATTTAAGGTCAGACACTTGTGATCAGCTTGACAAAAACAAATCTTAACACTATGTGCAAATGAGGCTAAAGCTTGACAGTTTAATAATTAACAATTCTTACAAATTATTATATTATATTATATTATATTATATTATATTATATTATATTATATTATATTATATTATATTATATTATATTATATTATATTATTGAAACAATGAATTCAATTATTAATTCCCGGATTCAGACGCACCATCATTTTGCAGGTTAATTATGGATATAAATGTACCACACAAAACTAGTTTCAGGGCTTTTTTTATTTGACTTTTAGTGCAAAATAAAGATAAAAATATACATTAAGATGTATTATGGTCAATTGGATCATAAGTAGACAAGGTACATTCTCATTCACAATTCTTTTGTTGACTTTTAACCTTTTTTTTGTTTGTTTATTTCATGACATGTTTTGTTTGTATGAGCTTTTGTGACAGAATATGTCGCGATAATTGAATTCAGATGTGCTTTGTTGCACTCCTACCTCTATATGGACAGTATTTTTGACTTATGGCATTGTTTCCAATGATTATCAACATATTTTTAGTGTTTTATCACAGGTGGTCAGTCAAGACCTGGTTTTAATGTGACCACTTGTGCTCAGTTTTTATAGTATTGCTCACAGTGATGCACACATATTCTCTAATTAATAAAATCAATTTATGCGGATTATAAGCAAGAGAGACGGCAAGCGAGTAAACATGAATAGATGTCACCTACGTTTCTGAATGTATCTGTGCTTTTTGGTACTACACAATAAAATAGTACCTTGTTTAAGTGTCCCATAGCATGTTCATCATATATTCATCAATAATTATTTCAAATTTTTTTCAAACACTAAACATATGAGCATTTACACTGATGAAAACCAATCAGGTGTGTTTTCTTCTACCTCTGGAAGTGGTTGAAAGTGAACCAGCTCAACACATTTTAGACAATTTGCATCTGTATTTAAGGTCAGACACTTGATCAGATTGACAAAAACAAATCTTAACACTAGGTGTAAATTAGGATAAAACTTGAGAGTTTAATATTTAACAATTCTTACCAACATTAAACAATTTTAAAGTCTCTTGAGTCCTTTTTACAGCAAAACAGAAAGAAAAAAAAGTTTTTTTAATACCAAATTCGATACCAAAAAGGACTTTTTCAGTTTTTCTTTTTCACAATCCTTTCGAAAACAACATAATAAAGCTTTGTAGAAACATGGAATTCGTATAAAGACTCTAAAAAGGACACCTGAATGCTCAGGGGGTCTCATAATCCCTCCTTGCAGATCACATTTAGGGATAAAAACAGGCAGGGTGTAAAATAAGTATACTGACCTTTGACCTTTCAGCTTTACCACCGGCAGTCCTACGACCCTGAAAGGTCTACAGTTATGGGCCATAACCTTGTTAACTTCATGGAGCTAAAGTTACTTGCATGCTTTTCCTTAATCTGAAAATAGACAAGAGGGATAGATTAGGTATAATCACAGATTCATGACAGTGAAACATGATCTTTAATTAATCTGCAATAATCAATAGCATCACGATTTATATAAACACTCATAGACTCTGTGCTAATGAAAGGAGTGGCTTTACTACTAGCTTCCCGGGACAGAAAAACCTTCATTTTATATGCATATGTATATATTTGCATGCATATGGTAATGAAGTGAATCAGCCGAAGTGAAAAACAATAACACAGCAGCCCTCTTGTGGAGTCTGCATGTGTGTAAATGAAGGGCTTTGTATTAGCTGGTTTGTCCCTATAAGGGTTAAATGAAACTGAGGGAAGAGGGTGAAAGAGTGATGGTGTGAGGGATTGAGAACTATAAGTGTAAATGCATACATGTGTCCATATATTAGTGTGGGTGTGAGTGTATAGAGGTCCGTCTGGCTCCCATGGTTCTGTCTTTGACTCGATTACTCTCTCGTTCGCTCCACCTCCTGCTTTTCTGCCCGTGTTTCTGCTTCTCGTCTGCATTGACTCAAGCGCCACCTCACTTCAGCTGCAGTAACAGCAGAGACTCGTATGTGGAGAGCTCAGGTGTCTCTAAAAACGTCATGATTAGTTTTCGTCATTTGATATCAAGGTACAGTTGTCTTTAGCTGTTTAAACGTGAATTAATATGTGTATTATATTAATAATGATATTAATAAATATGAATTAGCAGTAAAGAGTTTTATCCAGATCAGTCGTATAAAGATACAAGATACATCTAAACATGATTTAATAGTCACATGTATTAATGTAAGATTTGTTTTTTATCCAAGCTACTTAAAACAAGGCACAATAGCTATATATTAATAATTAATTTACATAAGCACAATAGCTATATAATAATAAAAAAATAATTAGTTTAAATAAGGTACAATAGCTACATAATAATAATAATAATAATAATAATTAAATTTAATAAGGTACAATAGCTATATAATAATAATAATAATTAGCTTAAATAAGGCAAAAAAAACTATATAATGATAATAATAATAATAATAATAATTATTATTATTATTATTATTAATAATATTAGTTTAAATAAGTCACAATAGCTATTTAAAAAACAATAATTCGTTTAAATAAGGCACAATGGCTTTATAATAATAATAATAATAATAATAATAATAATTAGTTTAAATAAAGCAAAAATCTATAAGATAATAATAATTATTATTATTATAATTATAAATATGATTAATTATTAAGATTAATAATAATGTCACGACTTTTCCAAGTTTATTAATGATTAATTGGTTGATTAGTCACATTAAGGCAACTGTTTTGTGAAATTTGCTTAAATATGCATGTGACATTATATGTATATTTACATATGTGTATAATATGTCTGCTTAATATCTGCTGATACTGCTCCTTTAACAGACATTTAACTGACTATAAGAAACTTTGCAAGTACATATGAACTTGCACTAACCCTAACCCCAACCTAACAGTCTACTTATAATCTAATGTGAATTAGCTGGCATGTAGATGCAATGTAAATTAAATTCAACAAACGGACCATCAAAATATTATAGTGTGACCAATAACATAAATGGCATATTCCTTGGAATAAATAGCACCGTATATTGTTCAAAGACAGGTTATCCCATTATTGTGTCTGCATCAACCTATTTAAATACATAGGAAGCATATTAGATGCCAGCAAAGTGTAATTTTTCATCTTTAATAATAATAATTCTCCAGTACTAGGTTGTGGCTAGAAGGTCATCCGCTGTGTAAAACCTATACTGGAATAGTTGCCTGTACATTCTGCTGTGGCAGTCTCTAATAAATAAGGGCTAAGCTGCAGGAAAATTAATGAATGAACGAAACATAACGAAACCAAAACAAACTAAACCAAATGAAGCAAAACAAAACGAACAAACAAACGAACAAAACAAAACTAATAAAACATAATGAACGAACGAAACAAAATGAACGAACGAAACAAAACAAACGAATGAACAGTAATAATAATAACAATAATAATATAACTATAACAATGATAATTAATAATATTAATAATACTTATAATAGTTTCGAAGAAATGGGTGGAATATTGCAAAATAAAGCTGGACATTTTTGTTTAAATCATTTTTTGAAAACAGCTTATGAATTTGAATTGAAATGTACTGACACATGACTAAAGGGTAATAAAAGTAAAAACTAAAACTAACACTTAATGTCTATTTTAGATGTTTTCTTTGAACTATTGTGGATAAAATGTTATGAAAGCCAAAATCTAAAAACTAGATTAGTGCATGAAATAACCATTGTGTTGCCTTTATTGTCTCACCAAATAAAAACAAATGTGCAGGTCACCAATATGCAATACCAAATAAGTGTTAAAGTTTTAGCCAAAAATAATTTCAAACTAAGCAATTTCATTCATTCAGGAATCCCAGACTCACCATTGAAATGACTTTCAGGTCCCGTAGACCAGTGTTGACCTGGTTTTCTGTTTATTGACCTGGACAGGCGCTTTGTATCTATCCATTTATTCCTCTTCCTATTTCCAGGGTGGGGTTTCATTTCCTGGCTTTGTGTTTGCAGACATTCTTGACTGGTAAATAAGTTCAGGCCTTCTGTTCATTAAATGCCACAGGCTAGACTGAATCCTAATAAAATCACAGATGTTAGCATTAGCATTACAAGTGCATGCTCACAGATTTTGCACACTAAGTTTACTTCTTTTATCAATATGAAGCAATTATCTAACCTCAGGCAATGTAACAGTCTGTGACCTATCCTGGGTTCGGTTTATGGGTTGAAGATGTCTGCAATTTGTTTGTTCTTATGCCTTTAGCTTAGGACTGATCAACTGCACACACCTACTGTAGTACATGCATTGTGAGTTATTAGATTCAGTTATAAACTTTAACCATCCAAAAGGCAACCTGGAGAAACAGAAAGCAAGGGGTAAATAAAAGTTTGGGTCATACAATTGGGTACACTTCTTGCTATTTCTGAACTAATTTCTGAACCCTTGCTCTATTTTCTTACGTGAAATCAATTTTGAGTGGTTGTATTAAATCAATGACATCTTATCCCAATTTGTATTTGATTGTTGGTACTTGTGTTTACCAGTATGGATGACAGAATTTGATGGCAGAAGTGCAGAATTTGTTTTGAGAATGAGAACGTGTTTGCAGTTTTGCTGAAAAGTCAATCTGCACAATGTGTTTTACCATGTCAATGGCTTTGTTTTATCTGTATTGACAACAGATTGCACAATTAGCTAAATGAGGCAGAGAACTTGGTTCAGCCAATGGGTTTTAGTGTACTAGCAATTGAGAAAAACTTTAACTATGACTTCTGCCTTAATAAACTCTTCATTTGCTGCTTATTATTAGTTATAAACTGTTAGGTGTTGGGTATGGATGTAGAATAAGATCATGCAGATTATGTACTTTAGAAGTAGCAATAAACTGCCAATGTCTTCATTTAGGCAAGCAATTAACACTAGTAATAGTTAAAATTGTTACTTAAAAAAATAATTCATAACACTTTATTTTTAAGTTATATTTGGGGTGTCCAAACTCGGTCCTGGAGGGCCGGTGCCCTGCATAGTTTAACTCCAATTTCCTTCAACACACCTCCCTGGAAATTTCTTGTATACCTAGAAAAAGCTTGATTAGTTGGTTCAGGGGTGTTTAAATGGGTCTGAAACTAAAATATGCAGGACAACGGCCCTCCAGATTCGAGTTTGGACACCCCTGTTATAGATTCTTAAGTGAACAAAGCTGATATAATGAGAAGTGGTAAATTGTGCAACCTTGATCTGCTAAACTGAGAATTATTTGTTTCAGATCTCCATATTTTTAACACTTGTCAGTTAAAAAGAGTCGAGTCAAGGCTAGTTTATTTATATAGCACATTTTATACACAGTGGCAATTTAAAGTGCTTTACATATACAGGAATAAAAGAGAAAAGTATAAATAAAATAGAACCAAATTAATTTAAAAACAGATAAAAACAGCATAAAGACATGTTTTCCCATATTCTAAAACACCGGTGTATCATATTTTGTCATTTTACTCAGGAACCTACCCACTCTACTGATCAACCCCCCGTTGTGAACTTTTTTGGTACGTATTCATCTATTGGACGTCTCAAACAGATTCAATTTGTTCACGTTAAGTCGATAAGTTAAGCTTTACAGCTCTAATTACGTGCCCCACAATTTCAACTTCCTTCTGGAAGTAAATCGCACGGCCACTAATTTCTACCCCCTCACGAGAGTAGATCACTTTAGCAAGCCAAACGTAATAAAAGGTATTGATCTTAGCCAGACGCCAGGGACTTTACCCCCTCGCAACAGATTATCTGTGTCGAGTCATGTCTCGGATCTCACTTATTGTAATTACGCTGCTATCCCAAAGAGACAGATCTACCAGTGTGGAGATGGCCCAAGTTAAATCTTTTAACTGCCCGATCAGATACAGTTTTTCCAAAAACACCGGTGTATCATATTTTCTCACTTTACTCTGGGACTTCCCCATTCTGGATATCAACCCCCCCCCCCCACCGAGGAGTCAATAAAAATACTGTCATATAATTATTAAATACTAATATATATCTTTCACATTGGTTTTGCAATATTATTGCTGAAAAAACATTAGTTATAGAACAACATTTTAAGATTTTTTTTATTTAATTACATTTTTAAATGGACAGTAAATTGAAAATTTCACAATTAATTACAAAGATACCCCAAACACATGCAGCGAAATGTAACATTTTGAAGTTATATGACTGAAATAGTATTCTTCTAACATATTCTCCCAAAACAGATTCTTATTCATTTCCATTTTTATAGTGTACAGTTTGTCCCTTTGTTATAGAAATTTCAGATCAAATAATTATAAAGTATCGTCTTTAACACAATACTATTTATCCATTCTTAGTGTATGTGCACAGACAACTTATGAAAATATGCGTGCCAGCTCACCGTCTCTCCCATTTGCCAATATTAAAAACAAATCTGCTTGGGTTAAAATCAAATAAACTCAACAAGTAATAAGAAAAAGAGTTTTCAAACAGATAAATATCAGGGGTCAGGGTCCTGCTGGACTGTAGGGATGTTCTGGAAGAATCTCCTTCACCTTACTAAAGTCCTCTCTTTTTTTCCCCTCAGTCTTCCTCTCGTCTTTTCCTCAGACTCTCTCTCTCTCTTACTCTCTCTCCAGCTGTCTCCCAGTGCCACGTAGCTTCCCTGCATTATTAGACAGATGGAATTCACCAACCCTACACATGAAGCTGCGATTTGCTTTCTTTCCATCTCATTTCTCTCTCACTTTGTCACCCCTTTCCCCCCTCTTCACCTCTCCTTCCCTGTATTCCCTAACTCTTACACACACTCATATGGTTTGCTTAAACAGTCTCACTGAATTGAAACTAAAGACCGCAAGAGATTGGCAAGACCCTGTCAACTTTGTTCATATGCAAGAGCAGCAACACGCATATGCTTTGAAATGAAAATATACATTTGAGACATCTTTTTAAGAACGGCCATTAAAAACTCACAATAATGTGAATAAAGAGAGTTCAATGATCAATGATGATCAACTTTTCTAATGGAGCATATTAACTTTGTAATTCTTGAACCAGGGAGAAATATTAAAATGTATGCAAAGGTTTGTTAAAATATACTCTTCTGCCACCTATTGGTGAATACAACCATGTGCAAGTGTCTTGCAAGGTTGTATTTTGGACTCATCCTAAAAGCATAACCTTAAAGTACTCAAATATGTTCAACCAAACATGTTTATTTGCAGGAGATTTCTTTCCTAAACACACACACCCACACTGGAACTCCAGCCAATGGCATAGATGGACTGGTTAAGTCCCTTGTGTGAGAGAAAGAAACAGCCAAGATCATCTCGGCCAAATTCTGAATAATGCGCTTTTCTTCGCTTCAAATCTGGCACAAATAACCACAGCCAATCAGCAAACCCAGCCAAGCACTTACCAAGAAAAATAAAACAAGCAATTTTTAGAAAAACACTACAGATAATGAGAAACAGTGAAAATATCGTATCAACTCGACGTGAAGTATGTCCCCTGTTGAATCTTAAACAGTACATATTTGGAGTGAAGAACCACTGATATAACATTAGCTGGAGAAGACAGAGATAAGATGACTGCCAAGTTACAAAAGCGAGTGATTTATTTTCTAATGTAAGACATGTTGTGTCACATTGAATCAATACACAATCTCAAAAACAAGTGGGACTGGGATTCATCCAAACAAAACAACTCTGATCTCAGTCTTATTCAACATCTAGTCAAATTTCATCACAACAAATAACCCAGGCCGCATACACTTAAATTCTGTTTTTGGCTATATTTGATCAGATCGAGTAGGGTCTGTCTGCGGACTGCAAGATAGGGGCGTAATTTGAAGGTGTCTTAGGGGCGTAACTTCTAGTACATTAGAGGCATAACTTGAAGTTATGGAGGCATGTCAAAAGTATGTTGTCCTCAACATGGCGCTGTACATCAGTTATTAACGTCTACACCTACTCCACACCTAAAGCCAACCGTCACAATTATTAACGTCTCTACCTAACTAGGGTTGTTATGATACTGGAATTCGATACCAATCGGTACTGAAATGTCCCGCAAACATTTAAGCGCTGTGGAGCATATTCTTAAACATCGCTGATTTGCCATTGTGTTCACCTGTTCACCAGAAATGACTGTGATTGGCCTTAAAAGTCATCGGTTCACCAAATTGAGCCTAAACACAGATACAGGGACACTGAAGCGTTTTAAGGTCACGTCGATCAGCTGGTTTCTTTAAAAGCTGATTTACGATATACGATGAATTGTGGCTTTAAAAGGCTCCAATGTCCCTGTATCTGTGGTTACATGCAGTAAACAGCGGTAAGTTCGGTGAACCGATGACCTCTACGGCCACTCACAGTCATTTTTGTTGAGCATGTGAAAACAATGGCAAATCAGCGATGTTTAAGAATGTTTAGGTTATTTGCAACCACAGGGGGCGACATCGAGTAGAAGTCAACGAATAAAGTTGCATGGTGGAGTTGCTAATCGTATGAATATAATAATATATCAAAGAATTTGTTGTAGATAAATTTGGAGAAAACTCTTAAAAAAATTTTCTGGTAAGCCATCTTGCCAACTACATTTCATTGTGACATCTCACATGGTTCAATATGACAACTGCAAGTTACGCCTTTGACTTACTACAGGTTACGTCCCTTCATCTTACGCCCCTGTTTTGCAGTCCGCAGGCAGACACACTTGATCAAATCAGAGAAGCAGCATCAGAAAAGTACTCAATATGTGTCAAGTAATGCACGACACCTCATGCCCATCAAAACTATCGTCTACAGAGCTGAGCATTTTTGCAGTTTATATAGTTTATCACTAACTGCAATTTCTGACTTTTCATCCTATTGAAAGTAAGTTTGTCAAACTCATCATCGTCGCAGATGCCAACTCCAACCATAGCCTGCCCCTTTTATCTAGGGCTTCCCAATTGATTCATTCAGTAAAGTTCCACCACTTGAAAGCCTCTGAGGCATCTGAAGGCCAGCGTGTCCAGATGACCTAGATCTATCATGTTATATTCCAGTTGCACCTTCACCAAGCGGCTCAGTGGGGACACATTGTCTCGACCCCAACAGAATGCATCACGAGGAATCGAACGGATGTTGTTGTGCATAAATGTTGCAGAGTGCAGCCACAATGGGAGCTGCCGTGGTACCTGTTCTAAGGCATTGTAACTCATATCTAGCTGATGCAGAAGTGGGAGAACTCTGAAGGCACCAAGAGCCACTTTGGCGATTTTGTTTCTTGCTAAACCTAGATGCTCCAGTTGAGGCATAGAAACAAAGGCATCCTTGGTAATGCTCAAGATGAAGTTTCCTTCCAAGTTGAGGGTCTTTATGGTGTGGGGTAGATGGCGAGGAACTCGCTTCAGTAAGTTGCCTTCTAGATTCAAACTCTCGAGGCCAGTGGCATTCAATAGTGCTGCCTTCCCAAGCCCTTTATCGGTCAATCTGTTCAAACTTAAATCCAGAATCTGCAACTCTGACTCTCCCCAGAACATGTCACCTTGTAGACGTTGAATGCGATTGCCTCTGAGATACAGTTCTCGAAGACTGAGGGGCAGCTGCATTGGAACAGAGGCGAGCTGGTTGTAGGACAGAGTGAGGGTCCGAAGGCTGCCCAAAGGAAGAAGCACACCTGGAGGGATAGTCAACAGGGTGTTGTTGCTCAGGCTAAGAATTTGCAAACTCGGACAGCGTTCAAAAGCTGCATTGGACATTGCACTTATCTGGTTCCAGTCCAGACGTAGCTCCTCAAGAGTAGCAGGCAGGTCTGTGGGGATGCTTCGGAGAAGGTTCCGCTCCACATATAATCTCTTTAGACGCTGAATCCCTTCAAATGCTTTCTTGACTGCGGAATCTGTTAAACGGTTGTTCCTTAACACCAGGAACTCCATGGAGTCGTACTGGGAGAGCAAGTTTAACTGAATGCTATCAATTTTGTTGTTCATTAAGAGAATGTACCTGGAGTTGTAAGGAATTCCATAAGGTATTTTGACCAAGTGTTTGTCAGAACACTGCACAACCCTGTAAAACAAGAGATTGATTTGACGGACAAATTACAGTGTAAAAAGTTAAGGTCAGTTATTTCATGCTTGGTTAAGACAATTCTAAAACACTTTTTTGTAGAGTTTAGCTGCAACCATAATCCAGTAGACACGAAAAAAGCTAATTTCATCTGGCACAGTTCAACCAAAAATGAAAAATTGCCATAATTTGCTCATTGTCCAAAAGTTGCTAGCATGTCTGAGTTTCTGTGATTTATATTAGGAACAACATACCATACTATGAAATTCGATGGCTGTTTTACTCCCAAGATTCTTCAATGTATAATGCGTTGTGTTCAACAAAAGAAAAAAAATCAAGTTTAAAGGCACTTTGTGTGAGGAAATAAAATTTTTTGGGTAAACTATTCTTTTAATGTCTTCAGGAGTGATAAAAACAACAACAGGCAAGTAAGTTTAATAAGGGTTGGAGGTCGAAACCGCTCCATCACACCTGCCTGTAGGTTTCAAGTGAGTATGAAGATCTCAGTGAGCAGGTTTTAGCATGTCTAATTACTGTTAAACTATAAAACACAATAACCCTAAAGGACACCCCTGGGTTAAGATGTAGTTGACACATACCTCCCATAGCAGGAACACTCTGATGGGCAGTAGTTATCTTCAAAATAAGGAAAATGCGACGGAGTTGTTGGCTTCAGTTTCTGCTCATGATTTAACTTTTTAACTTTCTTTGCTTTTTTCGAAACTTTGGTTGTCTTCCTTGGCTTCCCCTTTACAGCCTTTTTTTTCTTCCCTTTCAGTGTTTTATTGTCTTTATGTTTGGCCACTTTGCTTTTTGCTTTGTCCGTAAAGGTACTGGGAAGGGCCTTTGCAGTGGGTCCCGCTCTCGCTGACAATGCAGTGACTTCAACACTCACTTCCTCCTTTAGGTGGAGCTCAGAGACGTTCATCACATGGAGTTCCACTTTAAGGTCATCATTTGTTCTGCTTTCATTTAGTAATGTGGTTCCCATTGCATCTGGAGTGTGAAATTTTGGGGTTTCAACTGTGGTTTCAGATGAAAGGTTTGTATTGGTGATGACATACAAGGTCTCTGGAGCTGATGCTGGTCTCTGTGGTGTGGAGGAGAATGATGGAGGTGGAGTAGCTGATTCTGTGAGCAGAACTGGATGGGATGTGATAGATATGCTAGGAGTGTTGTATTGCTTCAGAGTTGGCCGGGTGAAATCCAATGTGTCAGGTTCATCCGGACTCTGTCCTTGCTGGTTCTCTTTTTCCTCTGCATCCTCTGTGCGTATCATTGTTTGTCCCATTTCTGTTTCTTTCATACCATGTTCTTCATTACTATTGTTAGTTTCTTTTTCTGCCCCACGGATTTTGACCTCTTCCTCACTTCTTTTCTCTTCTTCAGCGTTTAGAGCTTCCATTACCCGAGTAAGTCTCTGCTTTCCCCAAAGGTCACCTTCTGCAGATGCATTCTGCAAAACGGTCACATTTACACCTACAGAATAAAAGGTAACTCATCTTTAGGACCTTTACAAACACAATACATTTTTAAAATAAATACTGGCTCAGTTGTTATGGGACATTTGCCAAATATACTGTAATACCTTAGAAATAAGAGTCATGATATAAGCAGATTACAGTCATATTTCCTTAGAATACTGCATGTTTTTTTGTAATCCGACATGCATCACTGAAACATTCTGAATATTCAACATTAAAACATGGATTAAAACGTATTTAAATTAGTTCAATTTAGGAGTACTTACTTGGCTGAAGCACAAAAGTGTGTACGGTCACAACAAAAATCCAAAACAGCAGCACAAGGGGCTTCATTTTTACCTAAAAAGGCTAAGGAGAAGAAAACAATCATCTAACTAACAATGAAAAGTTAGAATAAAACCATCTGCAGTATAAGAAAAAATCTGTGGCCATCAACCAAGCTCCAGGAGACTGAAATAAAAAATGTAAACACCTACGATTTTAAAAATGGCAGGCAACCACATTAAAGTTTCCAGAAAGCTTCCATTTACAAGCTGTAACTGATCATTTGAGCATAAATCCAGACCCTGAAGATTTTGTAATGAGGTCGGCCCAGCAGGCACGGCTTACCTGGAGTGTGTTCAAGGTGAGTATGTGGCATCCGTCCTTCATATGTAGAAGTTCTTCTGCTCTGCAGACATGCTGGCTTTCTGCTTCACCGTCTTCACAGCATGACTGACTCAACACAAACAAATAGATGCGCATACGGACTAATGGACCCATTTAAAGACTCTCCCGTCTCCTTAATGCAAATTCCACATACACACTCAGGAAAATGACTCGTGAGTTATATAGCTCTCTTCAAAGATGCTTATCATTACGGGAATTTTCTCACTTACACACTAGATCCGAAAACAATCTAGCGGATCAATTCAGAGGAATGAAGATAGACATACTAAATTGGAAGGTCAAAGGTCAGGATTGATACTATTTGCCTTCATTTCACAGACACGGGTACACTTGCACTACAATGACAAGTATTTTCTTATGTGACCTTTGACCTTTCGATAAGATTGTGTGAGGTGCATAGAGCTGTGTGAGGTGAGGCATAGCAAAATATTCTAGACTGAAATTCAACTGTAAAAGTTTAACTGTAAAAAAGAAACCTTTTGTTCAACCTCTATTTGGTATTTCATCGTAACAGATGTTAAACCAAACAAACAAATTATTCAAAACCTTTGTCTACAGAGATTCTTCGCTTTTCTGAGGCATTTGAGCAAGCCGATGTCTAATTCTGACTCCTACTGTGTCTCCCAGCAGAGCTTTAGCAGATGCAGCTTTATCCAGAGTGTGGGAAAACAAAAAAGATGATTAAAATAAGATGCTTGCTGTCACCACCAAACAGCAGGAGAGGAGAGCGTGAGCTGGCAGGAAAATGCAGAGTTTTGGATAGTTTCGCGATGCGTTTGCAACTTTGTCATACACTGTACGTCAGGCCTTCCGTTAACTGTGCCAGAACATCTGACAGATTTACACAAATTGTTTTTACAGGCCAGCACAGCACATCACCGGTTTATTTTTATTCAAATATTTTCAGAATTGTCTGATTTTAAGCTTGCTTCCTAAGTTGAAGTTTTTAACACATGGTACTTAAAAAAAACGTTTATTTTGTCGCTGCATTTGCAAATTCAATCTTACTGTATTTACCTATAGAGGATATATTATAGTGTCAATTTTGATATTAATAAAATAAAATAACAAATGACAAAATATTGACTGAATCCACTATCTGCGATTCTACTATCATTTATTGTATGTAAAATCTGTACTAGGCATGGGCTGGTTTAAGATTGCGACGGTAAGATAACATTGGATATAAATATCCAGGGTTCATACACACTTTTAGTCAATTTTCATGACCTAATGTTTCATGTAATGTCTACATATATGTGGTAAATCATAAGAAATGTTAAAATTTATTACAGCATATCATAAAACACACAATAGTTTCAATTTATTTTTATATCTACAGTATGTAAAATAGATGATGCTTACGCAGCGCTAATAATGTAAGACCATGTTTTTAGCCAAGAAAAAAAAAGTAGTATAAACAACTAACCTACATTACAATATACAGGTATTTGTCAAACTAATTTTGGACATCTTAATAGTTAGTTAAACTAGTAATAATAGGTCAAACTACTTCTATTACAAAGCTGCGATCACACTGCACTTTTCACTCCATCGATTTCCATTCATAGGCATGCGAATGCGGCAGACCAGAAACGCAAGCACGTGTTTCGCATTTCACTGCATTCGAAAGCTTGGTGAATTCTTACCTGTGAAATCACATCAGGTGATTGCATATGACCAATAGAAGATAATTTAAAATACGGAATTTAAAATATGGAGCAATGGCTCACTTTTATTAATGTCTAATCATATTGTTTAACCCCACCCATTTTTCGCGGCACAGTACGACAGAAATTTGCAAGCACAAGCTCTAGTGTGACCGCAGCTAAAGTCACTTTGGACACTTATTGTGTTTACAAAAAAAACTAATTGTGTTTACTGCTGTCCTAAAAAACTAAATAAAATTGTAGCAAAAAAAAAAAAAAACACGCAAAAAAAAAAAAAAAAAAAACTACATATATTGTAGGAAGTGTAAAAACCTTGACTTTCCAAACTGCGGTAAACCCTGATACTGGTTTTATCCCATGCCTATCTGTAATATAACAACATTTTTATACTGTTATATTTCAAGTCATTGCTGACAAGTAAAAATTTGTTATTTAAAAGACCATTGGCAAAGCATAAAGATTCAAAATAACGGTTAATTAAGTATGTTGGGGTTGAACTGGCATCCTTAAAGTCTTCTAGTTTGTCAACAAGTAATTCTTGCTCTATATATGATAAACTATTGTAGCACTGAATGACATTTCAGTGAGCATCTTCTGCAAATCATGAAACAAAAAGGTTTTTAAAAATGGGTTTGACATATTCATTCATTAATTTTCTCTTTGGCTTAGTCCCTTTATTAATCAGGGGTCGCCACAGCGAAATGAACCGCCAACTTCATATGCTTTACACAGCGGATGTCCTTCTAACTGCAACTCAACACTGGGAAGGTTTTGACATTTTATATATCAATATTGTTTTTGCACTATACAGATTCTTCATTTTCTCTCCAGGGTCACCTTAGCACCCTCTTGTGGCCCCCCTGAAAAATGTATTTTGCCCTATAAAAATGTCTGTGGCTAAATGTCTTTCTCTGTTTTAAATCCATCCTACTGTACGTCTTGCCATTTGCTTTAGTGAGTTAAATGTTTGCAGCCAAGCCTGTCTCTGGACTTATTCATTTAAAATCAACCACAAAGACATTAAGGCGACTAATTGCTTTTTACAGTGAATACAACTACGTGGTACAGGGAGCTGTCATTTATTTAGATTAGTAAGTTATATACATTAAAAACGACATTTTTGGCAACACTTTATACAATTTACTACTGTTTTTTTATCTGCTTATTATTAAGATATGAAATGTTTATTAACACTATGATCTTTTTTACATCCATAATCCTACCCAATACATAAGCCCAATTAATAATAAGCATCTGGGAGTTTGTAAGGCTAAAACTCTTAATGTTTTTAATACCGTGAATTTTGTATTAAAAAAAGTGTGAACCATTTTTTAGTCAACACAGTTGTAGTCAACATACTGACATTAATGATGTTAATTTCTCACCACAGGCTTGCTTGGTCTGGCACTTGTGGAGCTGCGAATCAATGGATTTGCTTTTCAGGGATTGGACTTTGACCACACTGAACTGAACTAAACTAAACTGAACTTCAACTCTAAAAACTGGACTGACACCCTTTCAATTGACTAGAACTTCTATGTTAAGCTGTTTTGACACCCAAAAAAAAACATGAATTGAACTCTCACAATTAACCACTAGGGGACGCTAAAGGACAGTTTAACTTTCAATCGTTCGCTCAGATGGTCCATTCTGTTGTGCTACATAAGAATTCAGGCCAGAAGTGTATATACTGAACAAGTGGATTGTATCTTCAGCAAACTTTTCCAGCTACCTGTTTATGAAGTCGTCAGCAGCACACATAAAAATAGAAAACAATAGGACACAGAAAAATGTTCCTTCTTTAGTGTCAACAGCTCCTGAAGTAGAGCTCTGAAAAGAAAAGACAGTGTTTGTCTTACGATTATCTACCAGGATAACTAGAACAGCCTGTCCCAAACAGACTACCAGTTTGGGTAAAGCTGCATCAACATTTTGGAAAAAAATCAATTATAAGATGAGCTTATAATAGCTTCGAATGCAAGATGGTGTCAGTGCTAGCCCAAACACTTGACTTGATGTTGGCTGAATGGCACACCTTGACTTGCATTAAACCTTTTGTGAGCTGTCCTTTGTGCATGTGCTAATGCCGTAATGACACACACCTGGTCAGGAGACAGCTGAACGGCCAGCTGTCCAATTACAACTGCTCAAAAGACTGTCATTTCAACACGGCTTGTTGTTTATGACTGCAAATATCCTGAAATTAAAGCTGACAGGCTGTACTTTAAACCCAGCAGAGATGGTCAAAGACGGTTAACAGAAACCTCATAGTTGAATTTCTAATTTGGCAATGCAGATTTGAAACTAAAGCAAATGTTTAAGCGTTCAAATGGACAGAACAATGTGTGTTTGAGTGTGTGAGGGCATAAACAGTGATCCATCAATCTACTCGATAACAAAACCACTGGTTTCTACGATAGCTTGCTATTAAATGTGAACCTTGAAGGTTAACTCAAACTTTACATTTCATACGGTATTCTGTTCTGCTTTAGTGAGCATGAAGATGCATCAAGCTACATTTATGAAGAGTGGCTGATTTAAAGCTTTGAATCAAAATTCTGTTTGTTATGTGGCAGGTAGGGTACGTTTTTTGGACCAATCAGAAGAACTCAGAGGCGGGGCAAGCCTTGTGAGCATCTGTTTACAGTAGCAAGTTGGAATGGTACCTAGATGCTAAATACAATTCCTGACATTACTAAATGCGGAGTCTTACATTTTTAGACACAAATATGCATTCTGTGTGAATGACCCCTAAAACCTGCGACTGCATCAAAAAAAAATGACATTCATGTATACAGTGCTTCACTGAAAACAAAGAATTATTGCATATACTAAATTCTTTTAGGGTAATTGGTTTTAAACTATTCATATGGGCTGAATTCAAACAAACAAATTGAGTTAACATTACTAAATTTTATTTGTTTGTTTAAAGTCCACCCATATAAATTGTTTTCAACCACTTACTTTAAAAAAATTCCCCCCAGGCTCATTCTGATTACACACATTTCTAGAGACAGCAAATGCTACATTTTTTTGCTGCAGTTTTTGTTTTCGCGAATCCACCAGAGGCCGCTGTGTACGCTTTTTCAGATCTCAAATTTCAGATCTCAAACGCGAGTGCAATTCGCGCCTGCTGTTTGCACGTAAATCCACCAGAGGCCGCTGTCAACTGATTTTCTGACTGACAAACCAACCGATCCCCCTTCTCTAAACCAAAACAAAAGCATTTAAAAAAGCAAAGATTGACCTGCCCACCCCCTTTCCTAAACCCAACCTTAGTATTTTAAAAAGCAATCCAGAAAAAGAAAAGGCCCCTGATTTTTTACCACGCTTTCAGATTTTACCACATTCTCACCATGTTATTTACTTTTTTTTTTTTTTTAGCTTTTGTTTTTGTCTTACTAGCTTTCTGAAACCATTCTTTACCGGACTTGAACCTCGTTGTCGTGGTCAACTCCTCTCTGCATCTCAAGTCCGTCAATGTATGTTACGAGCTATCAGACAAACTAGTAACAGAGTTAAAGCCACCCATACAAAAGCAAGTGGTCAGCTGGTAAGCGAGAAAAGGAATGGCATCATACCGCCCCATAGCGTTCATTTTAAAGATGAAATGCAGCCATACGTAGCCCTGGATACATAATTTGCACT